GGGTCATAGCTTTTCTTTCACACGAAATCTCACGAGCCGCCTTATTCCTCTTCTTCGTCTTTATTTCTCTGTCTCTTTCGAAAACACACAAAAAACCTCACACTTTTTGTTCCCCGGCGTTTCTCTCCGGTGGAATCTCAGCCTATGGGATCTGAGAAATCGCCGTTTTACAGTGTTTTGGTTTAAATGAAAGTTTAAAATTTTTGTTTTTAATCGTTATCAGAAAAAGTAGGTAGCGAAAAAGAGTTTTTTTTCTTACGAAAATCAGATTGACTGGTAGCTGAAGAACAACGGAGGAAGAAGTATTTAGAGAGAGAGAGTCAAAAAAAAAAGGTTGAAACTTGGTTGACGATAATGAGCTGAAATAATTTCCTTCATTTATTTCATTCTTTAACTTCAGTTTGTTTCTTAGTTACTTTCAACAATCAGTAAAAGAAAAGAATAAAGTTGCGATTTTTTTTTTTCTTGAAGAAGATGGCAGATTTAGATAACTCCTCCACAGTTTCCGGCGAAGCAAGTGTTTCCTCCACCGGAAACCAAAACCCACTTCCGAAATCCACCGGGAAAAAGAAACGAAACCTCCCCGGAATGCCTGGTATAATTTCAAAATCCAAACTTTACACAAACCCAAATTCGAAAATTTCTGATTTTGTTGTTTTTGTTTGTTCAGATCCAGAATCAGAAGTTATAGCTTTATCACCAAAGACATTATTAGCAACAAACCGATTCGTCTGCGAAATCTGCAACAAAGGATTCCAAAGAGACCAGAATCTCCAGCTACATCGTCGTGGTCATAATCTACCATGGAAACTCAGACAGAAATCGAAGAAAGAAGTGAAGAAAAAGGTTTACGTTTGTCCTGAGTTAAGCTGTGTTCATCATGACCCTTCACGTGCTTTAGGAGATCTCACCGGAATCAAGAAACACTTTTGTCGGAAACACGGTGAGAAGAAGTGGAAATGCGACAAATGTTCCAAGAAATACGCTGTTCAGTCTGATTGGAAAGCTCATTCCAAGATTTGTGGTACTAAAGAGTATAAATGCGATTGTGGTACTCTGTTTTCTAGGTAAAGTGACCTTCAAAATTCGGATTTTTAATTTCTACAATAATCTTGAAAAATCTCTAATCTTTGATTGGTGTTTACTTGTAGGAGAGATAGTTTTATAACTCATAGAGCTTTCTGTGATGCTTTGGCTGAAGAAAGTGCGAGAAGCCATAATCAGAGTAGTAAGAAACAGAGTCTAGAAATTTTGACCCGGAAGAAACCAGTACCCGACCCGAAATCTTCACCGAAATCTCCGGTGGAAACTCAGACTACTGCTAAAATCAAATCTTCTCCGGCTTTAAAGATTAAGCAATCAGGTAAAAGTAAACTCTTTTTGTTAGAATTCTAGAATTAGGAAACATTTGGCATTTTGGATCTTCGTTTGTTTTTTTCCAAGTTTTAGAAGAAAACGAAGATGGTAGAGAAATCTCTGTTTTAATATGGTCGGTGATCTTGGAGTTTAGTAGTTTTTGTTTAATTTGTCTGTTGTGCTGTATTATTTTATTTGTTTACCTGATTAAGAACATAAATCGTTTGGTAAGTTTTGGTGTTCGATTGATTCTTTATGATAAAGAAATGATTTGCTTTTTTCCAATTTTTTGAATAGCTTATGTAGAAAGAAAGTCTCAAACTTTATACGGTTTTCCTTCTTCTTTATGATCTGCAGAATCCCCAAAAACCCCTCCTGAAATCGTCCAAGAAGCTCCGAAACCGACCGGTTTAAACGTTACAAGCAACGGAGTTTTCGCAGGCTTATTCGAGCCTTCCTCGACTTCTCCGAGCATGTTCACATCTTCATCTTCTTCACGGAGTCTATTCGCGCCATCCTCATCTATCCAACCCATCTCTTTGGGTCTCTCAACAAGTCATGGATCATCATCCTTTCTCGGGTCAAACCGGTTCCCAACTCTACCCGCCATGTCAGCAACCGCTCTGCTTCAAAAAGCAGCCCAAATGGGAGCAGCTTCTTCAGGAGGTTCGTTGCTTCGCGGGTTAGGCATAGTTTCATCGACTTCACCTTCAATGGACGTAATAGTCCCTCATGGACTAGGATTGGGACTGCCTTGTGGCGGTGAAAGCAGCTCGGGTTTAAAAGAACTCATGATGGGGAATTCATCCGTGTTTGGTCCGAAACAGACAACATTAGACTTTCTCGGATTAGGTAGAGCGGTTGGCAACGGAGGTGGTCCTGTAAATGGACTATCCGCTCTAGTTAGAGGAAGCGGCGGGATCGATGTATCGAACACATTTGGATCAGGAGAGTTTTCAGGGAAAAAAGACATTAGTAGAAGAACATCATAAGTACAAATTAAGTATGTTTAAGAGAATGGAGTTTAGATGTGTTTTGATTATTATTGTTCAATAGCTTAGTGTGAGTTAAGTTTGTAGCGGTACGAGAAGCATAAACTTCCTTTTTAAAGAGAAGGTTTCAATTTTAGTTTATTAACTTATTATGGAGTTAATTTTTTTTCTCTGATTCATCTCATTCTTGAACACAAAGAAATCGATTGACTCTAAATTTCTTGAGAATGCAATAAATTTTTTTTTGGTCATCTGAATGCAATAAATGGAACTGTTTTGTTTTCATTGCCTTAATCGGAATTACTTCTTTTAATAGAAACTTTTTCCAAATATTGAAGAGTTTGGGTCCCATTTGTTTTTGTTAGATTTTAAGGCTTTTTAAAGTCGAATATTTGAAATTTTACCTTTCGATGTTGACCATTGATTTGATTAGATATTCGATAGACAGAAAGAAAAAGAGATTCGGTAATAAGATTTTATTGCTGTGCCAATCGTATTGTAGGTCCATAAAGATAATATGATATGATGACGTGTCATTATCAAGACAGGATAACACTAATACGTGTTATTAAAAGCTGTTTAAATCTCTTAATATGATAATGATAATAGGCCATTATTAAAAAGCCCATTTATCTCAAAGTAGGCCCAAAACTCTCAAATATATCTTACTGATACACACTGCTCAAATCATTGCAAATAACAATGCATCACGTAGATCCAGTCTCATGATTAAAAATAACATTTTAAAATGACATCACGTATTTTTTTTTTGTTGGGATTATGGGTTAAAATATCATTTTTTCATAGAAACATTATTATTTTGATGTTTTCCAAATTTTTTTAGTGAGTTTGTCACTTTCAGGTGAAAAATGACCAATCTACCTATGTGCTGTATATAACGATTTCAGGTCTATTCTACAATACACGTACACCTATGTTGCATTCATGTACACATGTACGTATACAATGTGAATAACATATGTAATTACTATAACGTGTTGTACACATACACATACAACATATATATAATCTACAGTATGCTATTAATATGCGTACATCTAAACTCTAGTAATCGACACTACATTAAAAAAT